TTTGGAGGGGTTTTTGGAGGGGTTTTTGGAGGGGTTTTTGGAGGGGTTTTTGGAGGGGTGTTGGAGGGGTTTTTGGAGGGGTTTTGGAGGGGTTTTGGAGGGGGTTTTGGAGGGGTTTTGGAGGGGTTTTTGGAGGGGTTTTTGGAGGGGTTTTTGGAGGGGTTTTTGGAGGGGTTTTTGGAGGGGTTTTGGAGGGGTTTTGGAGGGGTTTTTGGAGGGGTTTTTGGAGGGGTTTTTGGAGGGGTTTTTGGAGGGGTTTTGGAGGGGTTTTGGAGGGGGTTTTGGAGGGGGTTTGGAGGGGTTTTTGGAGGGGTTTTTGGAGGGGATTTTGGAGGGGTTTTGGAGGGGTTTTTGGAGGGGTTTTTGGTGGGGTTTTGGAGGGGTTTTTGGAGGGGTTTTGGAGGGGTTTTTGGAGGGGTTTTTGGAGGGGTTTTTGGAGGGGTTTTGGAGGGGTTTTCGGAGGGGTTTTCGGAGGGGTTTTTGGAGGGGTTTTGGAGGGGTTTTGGAGGGGTTTTGGAGGGGTTTTTGGAGGGGTGTTGGAGGGGTTTTGGAGGGGTTTTTGGAGGGGTTTTGGAGGGGTTTTGGAGGGGTTTTTGGGGGGGTTTTTGGAGGGGTTTTTGGAGGGGTTTTTGGAGGGGTTTTGGAGGGGTTTTGGAGGGGGTTTTGGAGGGGTTTTGGAGGGGTTTTTGGAGGGGTTTTTGGAGGGGATTTTGGAGGGGTTTTGGAGGGGTTTTTGGAGGGGTTTTTGGAGGGGTTTTGGAGGGGTTTTTGGAGGGGTTTTGGGGGGGTTTTTGGAGGGGTTTTTGGAGGGGTTTTTTGGAGGGGTTTTGGAGGGGTTTTCGGAGGGGTTTTCGGAGGGGTTTTTGGAGGGGTTTTGGAGGGGTTTTGGAGGGGTTTTTGGAGGGGTTTTTGGAGGGGTGTTGGAGGGGTTTTGTTTGGAGGGGTTTTTGGAGGGGTTTTGGAGGGGTTTTGGAGGGGTTTTTGGAGGGGTTTTTGGAGGGGTTTTTGGAGGGGTTTTTGGAGGGTTTTTGGAGGGGTGTTGGAGGGGTTTTTGGAGGGGTTTTTGGAGGGGTTTTGGAGGGGTTTTGGAGGGGTTTTTGGAGGGGTTTTGGAGGGGTTTTTGGAGGGGTTTTTGGAGGGGTTTTTGGAGGGGTTTTTGGAGGGGTTTTGGAGGGGTTTTGGAGGGTTTTTGGAGGGGTTTTTGGAGGGGTTTTTGGAGGGGTTTTGGAGGGGTTTTGGAGGGGTTTTGGAGGGGGTTTTGGAGGGGTTTTGGAGGGGTTTTTGGAGGGGTTTTTGGAGGGGATTTTGGAGGGGTTTTTGGAGGGGTTTTTGGAGGGGTTTTTGGAGGGGTTTTGGAGGGGTTTTGGAGGGGTTTTGGAGGGGTTTTGGGGGGGGTTTTTGGTGGGGTTTTGGAGGGGTTTTGGAGGGGTTTTTGGAGGGGTTTTGGAGGGGTTTTTGGAGGGGTTTTTGGAGGGGTTTTTGGAGGGGTTTTTGGAGGGGTTTTTGGAGGGGTTTTGGAGGGGTTTTTGGAGGGGTTTTTGGAGGGGTTTTTGGAGGGGTTTTTTGAGGGGTTTTTGGAGGGGTTTTTTGGAGGGGTTTTTGGAGGGGTTTTTGGAGGGGTTTTTGGCGGGGTTTTTGGAGGGGTTTTGGAGGGGTTTTTGGAGGGGTTTTTGGAGGGGTTTTTGGAGGGGTTTTTGGAGGGGTTTTTGGAGGGGTTTTGGAGGGGTTTTTGGCGGGGTTTTGGAGGGGTTTTGGAGGGGTTTTTTGAGGGGTTTTTGGAGGGGTTTTGGAGGGGTTTTTGGAGGGGTTTTTGGAGGGGTTTTTTGGAGGGGTTTTGGAGGGGTTTTTGGAGGGGTTTTTGGAGGGGTTTTTGGAGGGGTTTTGGAGGGGTTTTGGAGGGGTTTTGGAGGGGTTTTTGGAGGGGTTTTTGGAGGGTTTTGGAGGGGTTTTTGGAGGGGTTTTTGGAGGGGTTTTTGGAGGGGTTTTGGAGGGGTTTTTGGAGGGGTTTTGGAGGGGTTTTTGGAGGGGTTTTGGAGGGGTTTTTGGAGGGGTTTTGGAGGGTTTTTGGAGGGGTTTTTGGAGGGGTTTTGGAGGGGTTTTTGGAGGGGTTTTGGAGGGGTTTTTGGAGGGGTTTTTGGAGGGGTTTTGGAGGGGTTTTTGGAGGGGTTTTTGGAGGGGATTTTGGAGGGGTTTTTGGAGGGGTTTTTGGAGGGGTTTTTGGAGGGGTTTTGGAGGGGTTTTTGGAGGGGTTTTGGAGGGGTTTTTGGAGGGGTTTTGGTGGGGTTTTTGGAGGGGTTTTTGGAGGGGTTTTGGAGGGGTTTTTGGAGGGGTTTTTGGAGGGGTTTTTGGAGGGGTTTTTGGAGGGGTTTTTGGAGGGGTTTTTGGAGGGGTTTTTGGAGGGGTTTTTGGAGGGGTTTTGGAGGGGTTTTTGGAGGGGTTTTGGAGGGGTTTTTGGAGGGGTTTTGGAGGGGTTTTTGGAGGGGTTTTGGAGGGGTTTTTGGAGGGGTTTTTGGAGGGGTTTTGGAGGGGTTTTTGGAGGGGTTTTGGAGGGGTTTTTGGAGAAGTTTTTGGAGGGGTTTTTGGAGGGGTTTTGGAGGGGTTTTTGGAGGGGTTTTTGGAGGGGTTTTCGGAGGGGTTTTGGAGGGGTTTTTCCCCCCCCCCCTCCAAACCCCGCCCCCCCCTCCGCGCCCCCACCCCGAACGAGGCGGGGTTTGTCGGCCACACCTCAGCGTGGCCGACCGAGGGGGGGGCCATCTGCGTGCTGAAGCTCCCCCGCTTGTGACCGCCCTGACGAGCCTCCTGCGTGTAACCGTGACACCGTTGTGAGGCCTCGCCATCTGCGCACGGGACAGGGCGGCTGCTCCTGCTCGCGGCTCCTTGGTAGCCTCGGCACCGCAGCCACCGGCAGGGTCATCATCCCCCACATTGCCACTCACAGGGGGGTGTCTACTTCATCCCAATTCTAGAGGCAAACGCAGCCTCAGCAAGGTCATCATCCCCCACACTGCCACTCGCTCACAAGGGGTGGCTACTTCATCCCAATTCTAGAGGCAAACGCAGCCTCAGCAAGGTCATCATCCCCCACATTGCCACTCACTCACAAGGGGTGGCTACTTCATCCCAATTCTAGAGGCAAACACAGCCTCAGCAGGGTCATCATTCCCCACACTGCCACTCGCTCACAAGGGGTGGCTACTTGTTCTCAATTCCAGAGGCACCGCAGCCTCAGCAAGGTCATCATCCCCCACCTTGCCACTCACTCGCTCACTCACAAGCGGTGGCTACTTCATCCCAATTCTAGAGGCAAACGCAGCCTCAGCAGGGTCATCATCCCCCACCTTGCCGCTCACTCGCTCACAGGGGGTGTCTAAATTTTAATTTGAAGCTTTCGTGACTGCAAGGATTCATCTTCTTTGGTTCTTTCGGTAAAGTCACCACCACGTAGAATGAGAATAAAAGAATAAATAAATAAAATAACACAATAAAATTCTCACGACGTTTCACAAGTTAATCACTCGGCTATTTCAATGCTAAATTCTCCTGTTTGATTTGTACTAGGTGCCTCTGTGGATGTGTCGGCTTTGACTTTAACATTGCCGTTTCTGTGACCAGTCACAAGCTAATCACTCAGCTATTTCAATGCTAAATTCTCCTGTTTGATTTGTACTAGGTGCCTCTGTGGATGTGTCGGCTTTGACTTTAACATAGCCATTTCTGTGACCAGTCACAAGCTAATCACTCAGCGATTTCAATGATAAATTCTCCTGTTTGATTTGTACTAGGTGCCTCTGTGGATGTGTAGGCTTTGACTTTAACATAGCCATTTCTGTGACCAGTCACAAGCTAATCACTCAGCTATTTCAATGCTAAATTCTCCTGTTTGATTTGTACTAGGTGCCTCTGTGGATGTGTAGGCTTTGACTTTAACATAGCCATTTCTGTGACCAGTCACAAGCTAATCAATCAGCTATTTCAATGCTAAATTCTCCTGTTTGATATGTAAACCCCTTTGTCAAGGTGCCTCACTTCTCTCACCCATCTTAAAAAGTCGCCACGAATCTTAACGTTCATTGAAGCTCTGTCGTCCCGACAGGTCTGTTCCTTTCACCTGAAGAAGGCCACTTGTGTTGTGGCCGAAACGTCGTCAGAGTTTTATTGTGTTATTTTATTAATTTATTATTTTATTCTCATTCTACGTGGTGACTTTACCGAAAGAACCAAAGAAGAAGGGGTGGCTACTTGCTCTCAATTCTAGAGGCACCGCAGCCTCAGCAAGGTCATCATCCCCCACATTGCCTCTCTCTCACTCACAAGGGGTGGCTACTTGCTCCCAATTCTAGAGGCAAACGCAGCCCCAGCAAGGTCATCATCCCCCACATTGCCACTCGCTCACTCACAAGGGGTGGCTACTTGCTCCCAATTCTAGAGGCAAACGCAGCCCCAGCAAGGTCATCATCCCCCACCTTTCCACTCGCTCCCTCACAAGGGGGTGTCTACTTCATCCCAATCCTAGAGGCAAACGCAGCCTCAGCAAGGTCATCATCCCCCACATTGCCTCTCTCTCACTCACAAGGGGTGGCTACTTGCTCCCAATTCTAGAGGCAAACGCAGCCCCAGCAAGGTCATCATCCCCCACCTTTCCACTCGCTCCCTCACAAGGGGGTGTCTACTTCATCCCAATCCTAGAGGCAAACGCAGCCTCAGCAAGGTCATCATCCCCCACATTGCCTCTCTCTCACTCACAAGGGGTGGCTACTTCATCCCAATTCTAGAGGCAAACGCAGCCTCAGCAAGGTCATCATCCCCCACATTGCCTCTCTCTCACTCACAAGGGGTGGCTACTTCATCCCAATTCTAGAGGCAAACGCAGCCTCAGCAAGGTCATCATCCCCCACATTGCCTCTCTCTCACTCACAAGGGGTGGCTACTTCATCCCGATCCTAGAGGCACCGCAGCCCCAGCAAGGTCATCATCCCCCACATTGCCACTCACTCCCTCACCTCCTCTTGTGTCTCCGTGCCCCCGCGTCCTCCCCGTGTCCCCGCGTCGTCCCCGTCAGAGACGGAGGAGGACGGGCGGGAGGAGGGGGTGATGGGGGAGCTCGGATTCGGAGTCCGAACAAAGTCTTTTTCTTCTTAATCTCCTGACCGGAAGCGAAACTGTGGAGACGCGGGGGGTGGTGGTGGTGGTGGTGGGGGAGGGAGGAGAGACACGGTGAGACGTGGGGGAGAGACGCGGGGGAGACACGGGGAGACGCGGTGTAGACGCAGGGAGGCGTGGAGAGACACGGTGAGACGTGGGGGAGACGCGGGGAGACGCGGGGATTGACAGGCGGCCGCGGGGAGTGACGGGGAGATACTGGGAGACACGGAGAGACACGGGGGAGACGCGGGGGAGACGTGGGGAGTGATAGGGAGACACGTGGAGTCACGGAGAGACACGGGGAGACGTGGGGGAGACGCGGGGAGATGTGGGGAGTGATAGGGAGACACGGGGAGACACGTGGAGACACGGGAAAACATGGTGAGACGTGGGGGAGACGCGGGGAGACGCGGTGAGTGATAGGGAGACACGGTGAGACGTGGGGAGACACGGTGAGACACGTGGAGACACGGGGAGACACGTGGAGACACGGGGGAGACGCGGGGAGACGTGGGGAGCGATAGGGAGACACGGGGAGACGCTGGGAGACACGGGGAGACACGGGGGAGACGCGGGGAGATGTGGGGAGTGATAGGGAGACATGGGGAGACACGGGGGAGACACGGGGAGATGTGGGGGAGACGCAGGGAGATGTGGGGAGTGATAGGGAGACACGGTAAGACATGGAGAGACACGGTGAGATGCTAGGAGACACGGGGGAGACGCGGTGAGTGACATGGAGACACGGTGAGACGTAGGGAGACACAGTGACACACGTGGAGACACGGGGAGACATAGTGAGAGATGGGGCAGACACGGGGAGATGTGGGTAGTGACAGGGAGACACGGGGAGACACGTGGAGACACGGGAGAGACACGGGGAGACGTGGGGGAGACGCGGGGAGATGTGGGAAGTGATAGGGAGACACGGTGAGACGCTGGGAGACACGGGGAGACACGTGGAGACACGGGGAGACACGTGGAGACGTGGGGAGACACGGTGAGCCATGGGGAGACACGGTGAGATGCTAGGAGACACGGGGGAGACGCGGTGAGTGACAGGGAGACACGATGAGATGTGGGGAGACACGGTGACACACGTGGAGACACGGGGCGACATAGTGAGAGATGGGGCAGACACGGGGAGATGTGGGTAGTGACAGGGAGACACGGGGAGATGCAGTGAGACACTGGGAAGGTTGTAGGGGAAGTGGTAAGGTTAGTGGTAGGGGTGGTGGTAAGATTAGTGGTAGTAGTAGTGGTGGTAGTTGCAGGGGTAGTGGTAGTATTGGTAGTAGTAGTGGCAGGGATAGTAGGAGTAGTAGTGGTAGGGGTAGTAGTGGTAGTAGTAGTGGTAGGGGTAGTAGTGGTGGTAGGGGTAGTAGTGGTAGGGGTAGTAGTGGTGGTAGGGGTAGTAGTGGTAGTAGTAGTGGTAGCAGTGGTAGTGGTAGTAGTGGTAGTAGTAGTGGTAGCAGTGGTAGTAGTGGTAGTAGTAGTGGTAGTAGTGGTAGGGGTAGTAGTGGTGGTAGGGGTAGTAGTGGTGGCAGGGGTAGTAGTAGTGGTAGTAGTAGTGGTAGTAGTGGTAGGGGTAGTAGTGGTAGTAGTAGTGGTAGGGATAGTAGTGGTGGTAGGGGTAGTAGTGGTAGTAGTGGTATGGGTAGTAGTGGTGGTAGGGGTAGTAGTGGTAGTAGTAGTGGTAGCAGTGGTAGTAGGGGTAGTGGTAGGGGTAGTAGTGGTAGCAGTGGTGGTAGGGGTAGTAGTGGTAGCAGTGGTGGTAGGGGTAGTAGTGGAATTAGGGGTAGTAGTAGTGGTAGTAGTGGTAGTAGTAGTGGTAGGGGTAGTGGTAGGGGTAGTAGTGGTAGTAGTAGTGGTAGTAGTGGTAGGGGCAGTAGGGGTAGTGGTATTAGTAGTGGTAGTAGGGGTAGTAGTTATTCATAATAAAGGTTTTTGGGTTAGATCGCGTTTATTTATAAATGTGTCGTAACCCTCCACCACCCGACACGGCCAATCAGCAAAAAAAAGTGTCACGTTGACAAAAGACAAATAAATAGTTCACTACTTTAGCCCAGTGCGTCTTTAACGTGTTTGATCTCTCTCACTAGACTGTCACCATCTGACACTGTTTTAGCCCGATGTATGAGCGTCTTGATAAGAGAGGATTACTAATCATAACCATTGACTGATTACTAATCGATTATATAATTACAATACCCCCCCCCTCCGCCTCAAATCACTGCACCTGATATGAGTTAAGTGATGACGTCACCCTGCTGCTCTATATAAAACCGGGAGCAAGCGAGGGCTTTACCATTCTGGCGAATTGCCCGATGATGCTGGATGTATTTACCAGCGAAACGTCGTACTCAAACTGTAAATGTGTATTCACTCTTCAACACACCGGTGGGCTAAAGTAGTGAACTAATTTGTCTTTTGTCAACGTGACACTTTTTTTGCTGATTGGCCGTGTCGGGTGGTGGAGGGTTACGACACATTTATAAATAACGCGATCTAACCCAAAAACCTTTATCATGAATAATATTGGTCGCGAAAGCCTACGTGTTAAACTGGGGGGTAGTAGTGGTAGTAATGGTAGTAGTAGTGGTAGTAGTGGTAATAGTAGTGGTAGTAGTAGTGGTAGGGGTAGTAGTGGTAGTAGTGGTAATAGTAGTGGTGGTAGTAGTAGTGGTGGTAGGGGTAGTAGTGGTAGTAGTAGTGGTAGTAGTAGTGGTAGTAGTAGTAGCAGTGGTAGGGGTAGTAGTGGTAGTAGTAGTGGTAGTAGTAGTGGTAGTAGTAGTGGTAGTAGTGGTAATAGTAGTGGTAGTAGTAGTAGTGGTGGTAGGGGTAGTAGTGGTAGTAGTGGGGGAAGTGGTAGTAGTAGTGGTAGTAGTAGTGGTAGTAGTGGTAGTAGTAGTGGTAGTAGTAGTAGTAGTGGTGGTAGGGGTAGTAGTGGTAGTAGTGGGGGAAGTGGTAGTAGTAGTGGTAGTAGTGGTAATAGTAGTGGTAGCAGTAGTGGTAGGGGTAGTAGTGGTAGTAGTGGTAATAGTAGTGGTACTAGTGGTAGTAGTGGTAATAGTAGTGGTAGTAGTAGTGGTAGTAGTAGTAGTGGTGGTAGGGGTAGTAGTGGTAGTAGTGGGCGAAGTGGTAGTAGTAGTGGTAGTAGTAGTGGTAGTAGTGGTAATAGTAGTGGTAGTAGTAGTGGTAGGGGTAGTAGTGGTAGTAGTGGTAATAGTAGTGGTAGTAGTAGTGGTAGTAGTAGTGGTAGTAGTGGTAGTAGTAGTGGTAGTAGTGGTAATAGTAGTGGTAGTAGTAGTAGTGGTGGTAGGGGTAGTAGTAGTGGTAGTAGTAGTGGTAGTAGTAGTGGTAGTAGTAGTGGTGGTAGGGGTAGTAGTGGTAGTAGTGGTAATAGTAGTGGTAGTAGTGGTAGTAGTAGTGGTAGTAGTAGTGGTGGTAGGGGTAGTAGTGGTAGTAGAAGTGGTAGTAGTAGTGGTAGTAGTAGTGGTAGTAGTGGTAGGGGTAGTAGTAGTGGTAGGGGTAGTAGTGGTAGTAGTAGTAGTGGTGGTAGGGGTAGTAGTGGTAGTAGTGGGGGAAGTGGTAGTAGTAGTGGTAGTAGTGGTAGTAGTAGTGGTAGTAGTGGTAGTAGTAGTGGTAGTAGTAGTAGTAGTGGTGGTAGGGGTAGTAGTGGTAGTAGTGGGGGAAGTGGTAGTAGTAGTGGTAGTAGTGGTAATAGTAGTGGTAGCAGTAGTGGTAGGGGTAGTAGTGGTAGTAGTGGTAATAGTAGTGGTACTAGTGGTAGTAGTGGTAATAGTAGTGGTAGTAGTAGTGGTAGTAGTAGTAGTGGTGGTAGGGGTAGTAGTGGTAGTAGTGGGCGAAGTGGTAGTAGTAGTGGTAGTAGTAGTGGTAGTAGTGGTAATAGTAGTGGTAGTAGTAGTGGTAGGGGTAGTAGTGGTAGTAGTGGTAATAGTAGTGGTAGTAGTAGTGGTAGTAGTAGTGGTAGTAGTAGTGGTAGTAGTAGTGGTAGTAGTGGTAATAGTAGTGGTAGTAGTAGTAGTGGTGGTAGGGGTAGTAGTGGTAGTAGTGGGGGAAGTGGTAGTAGTAGTGGTAGTAGTAGTGGTAGTAGTAGTGGTGGTAGGGGTAGTAGTGGTAGTAGTGGTAATAGTAGTGGTAGTAGTGGTAGTAGTAGTGGTAGTAGTAGTAGTGGTGGTAGGGGTAGTAGTGGTAGTAGAAGTGGTAGTAGTAGTGGTAGTAGTGGTAGTAGTAGTGGTAGTAGTGGTAGGGGTAGTAGTAGTGGTAGGGGTAGTAGTGGTAGTAGTAGTGGTAGTAGTGGTGGTAGGGGTAGTAGTGGTAGTAGTAGTGGTAGGGGTAGTAGTAGTGGTAGGGGTAGTAGTGGTAGTAGTAGTAGTGGTAGCAGTGGTAGGGGTAGTAGTGGTAGTAGTAGTGGTAGCAGTGGTAGTAGTGGTAGTAGTAGTGGTAGTAGTGGTAGGGGTAGTAGTGGTGGTAGGGGTAGTAGTGGTGGTAGTAGTAGTGGTAGTAGTGGTAGGGGTAGTAGTGGTGGTAGGGGTAGTATTGGTGGTAGTAGTAGTGGTAGTGGTAGGGGTAGTAGTGGTAGTAGTGGTGGTAGGGGTAGTAGTAGTAGTGGTAGTAGTAGTGGTAGTAGTGGTGGTAGGGGTAGTAGTAGTGGTAGTAGTAGTGGTAGTAGTGGAAGGGGTAGTAGTGGTGGTAGGGGTAGTAGTGGTAGTAGTAGTGGTAGTAGTAGTGGTAGCAGTGGTAGTAGTGGTAGTAGTAGTGGTAGCAGTGGAAAGGGTAGTAGTGGTAGGGGTAGTAGTGGTGGTAGGCGTAGTGGTAGTAGTGGTAGTAGTAGTGGTAGGGGTAGTAGGGGTAGTGGTAGAAGTGGTAGTAGGGGTAGTAGGGGTAGTAGTGGTAGGGGTAGTAGTGGTAGTAGCAGTGGTAGTAGGGGTAGTGGTAGGGGTAGTAGTGGTAGTAGTAGTGGTAGGGGTAGTAGTGGTAGTAGGGGTAGCAGTGGTGATAGGGGTAGTAGTGGTAGCAGTAGTGGTAGCAGTGGTGGTAGGGGTAGTAGTGGAATTAGGGGTAGTAGTAGTAGTGGTAGTAGGGGTAGTAGTGGTAGTAGTAGTGGTAGGGGTAGTGGTAGTAGTGGTAGTAGTAGTGGTAGTAGTGGTAGGGGCAGTAGGGGTAGTGGTATTAGTAGTGGTAGTAGGGGTAGTAGTTATTCATAATAAAGGTTTTTGGGTTAGATCGCGTTTATTTATAAATGTGTCGTAACCCTCCACCACCCGACACGGTCAATCAGCAAAAAAAAGTGTCACGTTGACAAAAGACAAATAAATAGTTCACTACTTTAGCCCAGTGCGTCTTTAACGTGTTTGATCTCTATCACTAGACTTTCACCATCTGACACTGTTTTAGCCCGATGTATGAGTGTCTTGATAAGAGAGGATTACTAATCATAACCATTGACTGATTACTAATCGATTATATAATTACAATACCCCCCCCCCTCCGCCTCTAATCACTGCACCTGATATGAGTTAAGTGATGACGTCACCCTGCTGCTCTATATAAAACCGGGAGCAAGCGAGGGCTTTACCAATCTGGCGAATTGACCGATGATGCTGGATGTATTTACCAGCGAAACGTCGTACTCAAACTGTAAATGTTGTGGATTCACTCTTCAACACACCGGTGGGCTAAAGTAGTGAATTATTTGTCTTTTGTCAACGTGACACTTTTTTTTGCTCATTGGCCGTGTCGGGTGGTGGAGGGTTACGACACATTTATAAATAAACGCGATCTAACCCAAAAACCTTTATCATGAATAATATTGGTCGCGAAAGCCTACGTGTTAAACTGAGGGGTAGTAGTGGTAGTAGTAGTGGTAGTAGTAGTGGTAGTAGTGGTAATAGTAGTGGGAGTAGTAGTAGTAGTGGTAGTAGTGGTAGTAGTAGTGGTAGTAGTAGTGGTAGTAGTGGTAATAGTAGTAGTAGTGGTAGTAGTAGTGGTGGTAGGGGTAGTAGTGGTAGTAGTGGGGGAAGTGGTAGTAGTAGTGGTAGTAGTAGTGGTAGTAGTGGTAATAGTAGTGGTAGTAGTAGTGGTAGGGGTAGTAGTGGTAGTAGTGGTAATAGTAGTGGTAGTAGTAGTGGTAGTAGTAGTGGTAGTAGTAGTAGTGGTAGTAGTGGTAGTAGTAGTAGTGGTAGTAGTAGTAGTAGTGGTAGGGGTAGTAGTGGTAGTAGTAGTGGTAGTAGTGGTAGTAGTAGTGGTAGTAGTGGTAGTAGTAGTGGTAGTAGTGGTAGTAGCAGTGGTAGTAGTGGTAATAGTAGTGGTAGTAGTAGTGGTGGTAGGGGTAGTAGTGGTAGTAGTGGGGGAAGTGGTAGTAGTAGTAGTGGTAATAGTAGTGGTAGTAGTAGTGGTAGTAGTGGTAGTAGTAGTGGTAGTAGTGGTAAGAGTAGTGGTAGTAGTGATAGGGGTAGTAGTGGTAGTAGTGGGGGAAGTGGTAGTAGTAGTGGTAGTAGTGGTAGTAGTAGTGGTAGGGGTAGTGGTAGGGGTAGTAGTGGTAGTAGTAGTAGTGGTAGTAGTGGTAATAGTAGTGGTAGGGGTAGTAGTGGTAATAGTAGTGGTAGGGGTAGTAGTGGTAGTAGTAGTGGTAGTAGTAGTGGTAGTAATAGTGGTAGTAGTGGTAGTAGTAGTAGTAGTGGTAGTAGTAGTGGTAGTAGTGGTAGTAGTAGTGGTAGAGGTAGTAGTAGTGATGGTAGTAGTGATAGTAGTAGTGGTAGTAGTAGCGGTAGTGGTGGTAGTGATAGTAGTGGTGGTAGTGATAGTAGTAGTGGTAGTGATAGTAGTAGTGGTAGGGGTAGTAGTGGTAGTAGTATTAGTGGTAGGGGTAGTAGTGATAGTAGTAGTGGTAGTAGTAGTGGTAGGAGTAGTGATAGTAGTAGTAGTAGTGGTAATAGTAGTGGTAGTAGTAGTGATAGTAGTAGTGGTGGTAGTAGTGGTAGAGGTAGTAGTGGTAGGAGTAGTAGTGATAGTAGTAGTGATAGTAGTAGTGGTAGTAGTTGTGGTAGTAATGGTAGGGGTAGTAGTAGTGATAGTAGTAGTGGTAGTGATAGTAGTAGTAGTGATAGGGGTAGTAGTAGTAGTGATAGTAGTAGTGGTAGTAGAAGTGGTAGTAGTGATAGTAGTAGTGATAGGAGTGATACTAGTGGTGGTAGTAGTAGTGGTAGTGATAGTAGTAGTGATAGTAGTAGTGGTAGTAGTAGTAGTGATAGTAGTAGTGGTAGTAGTAGTGATAGGAGTGATAGTAGTGGTGGTGGTGATAGTAGTAGCAGTGATAGTAGTAGTATTAGTGATAGTAGTGATAGTAGTAGTATTAGTGATAGTACTGATAGTAGTAGTATTAGTGATAGTAGTGATAGTAGTAGTATTAGTGATAGTAGTGGTGGTGGTAGTGATAGTAGTAGTAGTGATAGTAGTAGTAGTAGAAGTGGTAGTAGTAGTGGTGGTGGTGATAGTAGTAGTGATAGTAGTAGTGGTAGTAGTGATAGTAGTAGTGGTAGTAGTAGTGATAGTAGTAGTAGTGATAGTAGTAGTGGTAGTAGTAGTGATAGTAGTAGTGATAGTAGTAGTAGAAGTGGTAGGAGTAGTGGTGGTGGTGATAGTAGTAGTAGTGGTAGTAACACTAGTGATAGTAGTGATAGTAGTAGTGAAAGTAGTGGTGGTAGTAGTAGTGGTAGTAATAGTAATGGTAGTGGTAGTAGTAGTGATAGTGATAGTAGTAGTGATAGTAGTGGTGGTGGTAGTAGTAGTGATAGTAGTAGTGATAGGGGTAGTAGTGATAGTAGTAGCATTGGTAGTAGTAGTGATAGGAGTAGTAGTAGTAGTGATAGGGGTAGTAGTAGTAGTAATAGTAGTAGTGGTAGTAGAAGTGGTAGTAGTGATAGTAGTAGTGATAGGAGTGATAGTAGTGGTGGTGGTAGTGATAGTAGTAGTGATAGTAGTAGTGGTGGTGGTGATAGTAGTAGTAGTGGTAGTAGTATTAGTGATAGTGATAGTAGTATTAGTGATAGTGATAGTAATGGTGGTGGTGATAGTGATAGTAGTGGTGGTGATAGTAATGGTGGTGGTAGTAGTATTAGTGATAGTGGTAGTGATAGTAATAGTAGTGGTAGTAGTGATAGTAGTGGTGGTGGTAGTGATAGTAGTAGTAGTGATAGTAGTAGTGGTGGTGGTGATAGTAGTAGTAGTGGTATTAGTATTAGTGATAGTGATAGTAGTAATAGTAGTGATAGTAGTGGTGGTGATAGTAGTAGTAGTAGTAGTGATAGTGATAGTAGTGATAGTAATAGTAGTAATAGTAGTGATAGTGATAGTAGTAGTGGTGGTGATAGTAGTAGTAGTGGTAGTAGTATTAGTGATAGTGATAGTAGTAATAGTAGTGATAGTGATAGTAGTGGTGGTGATAGTAATGGTGGTGGTAGTAGTATTAGTGATAGTGGTAGTGATAGTAATAGTAGCGGTAGTAGTGATAGTAGTGATAGTAGTGGTGGTGGTAGTGATAGTAGTAGTAGTGATAGTAGTAGTGGTGGTGGTGATAGTAGTAGTAGTGGTATTAGTATTAGTGATAGTGATAGTAGTAATAGTAGTGATAGTGATAGTAGTGGTGGTGATAGTAGTAGTAGTGATAGTGATAGTAGTGATAGTAATAGTAGTAATAGTAGTGATAGTGATAGTAGTAGTGGTGGTGGTGATAGAAGTAGTAGTGGTAGTAGTATTAGTGATAGTGATAGTAGTAATAGTAGTGATAGTGATAGTAGTGGTAGTGATAGTAATAGTAGTGGTAGTAGTGATAGTAGTGGTGGTGGTAGTGATAGTAGTAGTAGTGATAGTAGTAGTGGTGGTGGTGATAGTAGTAGTAGTGGTATTAGTATTAGTGATAGTGATAGTAGTAATAGTAGTGATAGTGATAGTAGTGGTGGTGATAGTAGTAGTAGTGATAGTGATAGTAGTGATAGTAATAGTAGTAATAGTAGTGATAGTAGTGGTGGTGATAGTAGTAGTAGTGGTATTAGTAGTAGTGATAGTGATAGTAGTGATAGTGATGGTGGTGATAGTAATAGTAGTGATAGTAATAGTAGTGATAGTAATAGTAGTAATAGTAGTGATAGTGATAGTAGTAGTGGTGGTGGTGATAGTAGTAGTAGTGGTAGTAGTGATAGTAGTGATAGTGATAGTAGTGGTGGTGATAGTAGTAGTAGTGATAGTAGTGATAGTAATGGTAGTGATAGTAGTGATAGTGGTGGTGAACCTCCTACCGTAGACGCTCGTGAGAGAGAGCCTGGAGGAGTTTGTCTGCGCGGGTCGCTAGCGGAGTTCCTGCCAGCTGGGACACACGGACACGGTCACAACCCCTCCCCCTGTCTCACCCCCCCTGTCTCATCCCCCTGTCTCACACCCCCCTCCCCCTGTCTCACCCCCCCTGTCTCATCCCCCTGTCTCACACCCCCCTCCCCCTGTCTCACCCCCCCTGTCTCATCCCCCTGTCTCACACCCCCCTCTCCCCCTGTCTCACCCCCCCCCTGTCTCACCCCCCTGTCTCACCCCCACCGTGTCTCCACCCCCCCCCCCCATCTCACCCCCCCCCCGTCTCACCCCCCCCTGTCTCCAACCCACTGTCTCCACCCCCCGTGTCTCCCCCCCCACTCCCCCGTGTCTCCACCCCCCGTGTCTCCACCCCCCGTGTCTCCACCCCCACTCCCCCGTGTCTCCACCCCCCCTGTCTCCACCCCCCGTGTCTCCACCCCCCGTGTCTCCACCCCCCGTGTCTCCACCCCCCGTGTCTCCCCCCCCCCCGTGTCTCCCCCCCCCCCCCCCCCGTGCCTCCCACCTCTCCGCACTGCAGCCGGCTCCACTCCCGGTTGACGAAGGGGACAATCTCCTGGTCGAAGCCGAAGTACTTCCGGCGCTTCTCCACGCTGAGCGAGTAGAGGGCAAGGTGAGCAACGTCGCCCCTGCGGAGAGGGGAGAGCTCACCCACCCGCTCACCCGCTCACTCACTCACCCGCTCACTCGCCCACTCGCTCACCCACCCGCTCACCCACCAACTCACCCACTCGCTCACCCACCAACTCACCCACTCGCTCACCCACCCACCCACCCACCCGCTCACCCACCCACTCACCCACCCGCTCACCCGCCCACTCACCCACCCGCTCACCCACCCGCTCACCCGCTAACTCACTCACCCGCTCACTCGCCCACTCGCTCACCCACCCGCTCACCCACCAACTCACCCACTCGCTCACCCACCCACCCCCCCACCCACCCGCTCACCCACCCACTCACCCACTCTCTCACTCACTCACCCACTCGCTCGCCCACTCGCTCACCCGCTCGTTCACTCATCCACTCGCTCGCTCACCCGGACACTCACCCACCCACTCACCCACCCACTCACCACCCACCCGCTCACCCGCACACTCACCCACCCGCTCGCTCACTCACCCACTCGCCCTCACACTCACCCACTCGCCCACTCGCTCGCCCACTCACCCGCTCACCCACTCACTCACTCACTCACCCGTTCGCTCACCCGCCCGTTCTCATTCACTCATTAGCTCACTCACCGACTCACTCACCCACCCGCTAACCCGCTCTCTCATTCACCCGCTCGCTCACCCGTTCACCCGCTCGCTCATCCACTCTCTCACTCGCTCATCCGCTCACTCACTCGCTCACTCACCCACCGCTGACTCACCTGCTTGCTCACCCGCCCGCTGACTTACTCGCTCACTCGCTCACTCGCTCACCCGCTCGCTCACCCGCTCTCTTACTCACCCACCCGCTCACCCGCCCACTCGCCCACTCACCCGCTCGCCCACTCACCCGCTCGCTCACTCACCCACCCGCTCACCCGCCCACTCGCCCACTCACCCGCTCGCCCACTCACCCGCTCGCTCACTCACCCACCCGCTCACCCGCCCACTCGCCCTCTCACCCGCCCACTCGCCCACTCACCCGCTCGCTCGCTCGCTCGCCCACTCGCTCACTCACCCACCCGCTCACCCGCCCACTCGCCCTCTCACCCGCACACTCACCCACTCGCCCACTCGCTCGCTCGCCCACTCGCCCACCCGCTCACTCGCCCACTCGCCCACCCGCTCACTCACCCACTCGCCCGCACGCTCACCCACCAGCTCGCTCATCCGCCCGCTTACCCACCCGCTAACTTGCTCACTCACTAGCTCACCCGCTCATCCACCCGCTCGCTCACCCACTTGCTCGCTCACTCACTCACCCGCTCACTCACCAGGTGAGCGGAAGTCTTCGTAGGATTTCAGACCCTCCATTGCACAGAGCACAGACAAACGAATAGAACCTGCACACAGACACAGACAAAGATTCCCCATGTAGCCTCTACAGACTGTAGGGGCAAGTGCTGTGGGCTAGCGAGTAGCAGCAGCAGTGTCTATGTACTACACACACCACACACAGACAAAGCTCCCCCAGGTAGCATCTAGCAGCGCTGTAGGGGCAAGTGCTGTTAGTAGTGAGTAGCAGCAGCAGTGTCTATGTACTACACACACCACACACAGACAAAGCTCCCCCAGGTAGCCTCTAGCAGGGCTGTAGGGGCAAGTGCTGCTAGTAGCGAGTAGCAGCAGCAGTGTCTATGTACTACACACACCACACACAGACAAAGCTCCCCCAGGTAGCATCTAGCAGCGCTGTAGGGGCAAGTGCTGTTAGTAGCGAGTAGCAGCAGCAGTGTCTATGTACTACACACACCACACACACAGACAAAGCTCCCCCAGGCAGCCTCTAGCAGGGCTGTAGGGGCAAGTGCTGTTAGCTAGCGAGTAGCAGCAGCAGTGTCTATGTACTACACACACCACACACAGACAAAGCTCCCCCAGGTAGCCTCTAGCAGGGCTGTAGGGGCAAGTGCTGTTAGTAGCGAGTAGCAGCAGCAATGTCTATGTACTACACACACCACACACAGACAAAGCTCCCCCAGGTAGCCTCTAGCAGGGCTGTAGGGGCAAGTGCTGTTGGTAGCGAGTAGCAGCAGCAGTCTCTATGCGCCCGTGTCTATGTGCCCGTGTCTATGTCCCCGTGTCTATGTCTCCGTGTCTATGTCTCCGTGTCTATGTCCCCGTGTCTATGTCCCCGTGTCTATGTCCCCGTGTCTATGTCCCCGTGTCTATGTCCCCGTGTCTATGTCCCGTGTCTATGTCCCCGTGTCTATGTCCCCGTGTCTATGTCCCCGTGTCTATGTCTCCGTGTCTACGTGCTCCGTGTCTATGTCCCCGTGTCTATGTCCCCGTGTCTATGTCCCCGTGTCTATGTCCCCGTGTCTATGTCCCCGTGTCTATGTCTCCGTGTCTATGTTTCCGTGTCTACGTCTCCGTGTCTACGTCCCCGTGTCTACGTCCCCGTGTCTACGTCCCCGTGTCTATGTCTCCGTGTCTATGTCCCCGTGTCTATGTCTCTGTGTCTATGTCTCTGTGTCTATGTCCCCGTGTCTATGTCCCGTGTCTATGTCCCCGTGTCTACGTCCCCGTGTCTATGTCCCCGTGTCTATGTCCCGTGTCTATGTCCCCGTGTCTATGTCTTCGTGTCTATGTCCCCGTGTCTATGTCCCCGTGCCTGTCTCCGTAGAGCAGTGGAGTGTCTATGTCCCCGTGTCTACGTGTCTCCGTGTCTATGTGCTCCGTGTCTATGTCCCCGTGTCTACACGTCCGTGTCTATGTCTCTGTGTCTATGTCCCCGTGTCTATGTGTCCGTGTCTATGTCCCCGTGTCTATGTCCCCGTGTCTACGTCCCCGTGTCTATGTCTCCGTGTCTATGTCCCCGTGTCTATGTCCCCGTGTCTATGTCCCCGTGTCTACGTCCCCGTGTCTATGTCCCCGTGTCTATGTCCCCGTGTCTATGTCCCCGTGTCTATGTCCCGTGTCTATGTCCCCGTGTCTATGTCCCCGTGTCTATGTCCCCGTGTCTATGTCCCGTGTCTATGTCCCGTGTCTATGTCCCGTGTCTATGTCCCCGTGTCTATGTCCCGTGTCTATGTCCCCGTGTCTATGTCCCGTGTCTATGTCCCCGTGCCTGTCTCCGTAGAGCAGCGGAGTGTCCACGCAGGCCACACATCCCTCGTGGAACCACTGAAGACACGAACCACACTGCAACATTTTCATGGTCCACCTGCACACACAGAGACACGGGGTGAGAGAGAGACACGGTGAGAGAGAGAGACATGGGGACACGGGGTGAGAGGGAGAGACACGGTGAGAGACATGGGGTGAGAGAAAGACACTGGGTGAGAGAGAGACACGGGGTGAGAGAGAGAGAGACACTGGGTGAGAGAGAGACACGGTGAGAGAGAGACACGGGGTGAGTGAGACACGGGGTGAGAGAGAGACACGGTGAGCGAGAGAGAGACACGGGGTGAGAGAGACACGGGGTGAGTGAGACACGGGGTGAGAGAGAGACACGGGGTGAGAGAGACACGGGGTGAGAGAGAGACACGGGGTGAGAGAGACACGGGGTGAGAGAGACACGGGGTGAGAGAGACACAGAGTGAGTGAGACACGGGGTGAGAGAGAGACACGGGGTGAGAGAGACACGGGGTGAGAGAGACACGGGGTGAGTGAGACACGGGGTGAGAGAGAGACACGGTGAGAGAGAGAGAGACACGGGGTGAGAGAGACACGGGGTGAGTGAGACACGGGGTGAGAGAGACACGGGGTGAGAGAGACACAGAGTGAGTGAGACACGGGGTGAGAGAGACACGGGGTGAGAGAGAGACACGGGGTGAGAGAGACACGGGGTGAGAGAGACACGGGGTGAGTGAGACACGGGGTGAGAGAGAGACACGGTGAGAGAGAGAGAGACACGGGGTGAGAGAGACACGGGGTGAGTGAGACACGGGGTGAGAGAGAGACACGGGGTGAGAGAGACACGGGGTGAGAGAGACACAGAGTGAGTGAGACACGGGGTGAGAGAGAGACACGGGGTGAGAGAGACATGGGGTGAGAGAGACACGGGGTGAGTGAGACACGGGGTGAGAGAGAGACACGGTGAGAGAGAGAGAGACATGGGGTGAGAGAGACACGGGGTGAGTGAGACACGGGGAGAGAGAGACACACGGGGTGAGAGAGACACGGGGTGAGAGAGACACGGGGTGAGAGAGACACGGGGTGAGAGAGACATGGGGTGAGGCACACGGGGTGAGAGAGACACGGAGTGAGAGAGAGACACGGGGTGAGAGAGACACGGGGACACGGGGTGAGAGAGAGACACGGGGAGAGAGAGACACGGGGTGAGAGACACGGGGTGAGAGAGACACGGGGTGAGAGACATGGGGTGAGACACACGGTGAGAGAGACACGGGGTGAGAGAGACACGGGGTGAGTGAGACACGGGGTGAGAGAGAGAGACATGGGGTGAGAGAGAGACGCGGGGTGAGAGAGACACGGGGTGAGAGAGACACGGGGTGAGAGACACGGGGTGAGAGAGACACGGGGTGAGAGAGACACGGGGTGAGAGAGACGGGGTTAGAGAGACGGGGTTAGAGACACGGGGTAAGAGAGACACGGAGTGAGAGAGACACGGAGTGAGAGAGACACGGGGTGAGAGAGACACGGGGTGAGAGAGACACGGGGTGAGTGAGACACGGGGTGAGAGAGAGACACGGGGTGAGAGAGACACGGGGTGAGAGAGACACAGAGTGAGTGAGACACGGGGTGAGAGAGAGACACGGGGTGAGAGAGACACGGGGTGAGAGAGACACGGGGTGAGAGAGAGACACGGTGAGAGAGAGAGAGACACGGGGTGAGAGAGACACGGGGTGAGTGAGACACGGGGAGAGAGAGACACACGGGGTGAGAGAGACACGGGGTGAGAGAGACACGGGGTGAGGCACACGGGGTGAGAGAGACACGGAGTGAGAGAGAGACACGGGGTGAGAGAGACACGGGGACACGGGGTGAGAGAGAGACACGGGGAGAGAGAGACACGGGGTGAGAGACACGGGGTGAGAGAGACACGGGGTGAGAGACATGGGGTGAGAGACACGGTGAGAGAGACACGGGGTGAGAGAGACACGTGGTGAGTGAGACACGGGGTGAGAGAGAGAGAGACATAGGGTGAGAGAGAGACGCGGGGTGAGAGAGACACGGGGTGAGAGAGACACGGGGTGAGAGACACGGGGTGAGAGAGACACGGGGTGAGAGAGACACGGGGTGAGAGAGACGGGGTTAGAGAGACGGGGTTAGAGACACGGGGTAAGAGAGACACGGAGTGAGAGAGACACGGAGTGAGAGAGACACGGGGTGAGAGAGACATGGGGTGAGAGAGACACGGGGTGAGAGAGACGGGGTTAGAGACATGGTGAGAGAGACACGGTGAGAGAGACACGGGGTGAGCGACACGGAGTGAGAGAGACGGGGTTAGAGACACGGGGTAAGAGACACGGTGAGAGAGACATGGTGAGAGAGAGACGGGGTGAGAGAGACACGGTGAGAGAGACACGGGGTGAGAAAGACACGGGGTAAGAGGCATGGTGAGAGAGACACGGGGTGAGAGAGACATGGTGAGAGAGACACGGTGAGTGAGACATGGGGTGAGAGAGACACGGGGTGAGAGAGACATGGGGTAAGAGGCATGGTGAGGGAGACATGGTGAGAGAGACACGGGGTGAGAGAGACACAGGGTTCGAGAGACACGGCGTGAGAGTGACACGGGGTGAAAGAGACATGGGGTAAGAGGCATGGTGAGAGAGACACGGGGTTAGAGAGACACGGGGTGAGAGAGACACGGGGTTAGAGAGACACGGGGTGAGAGGGACACGGGGTGAGAGAGACACGGTGAGAGAGAGACACGGGGTAAGAGACATGGTGAGAGAGACACGGGGTGAGAGAGAGACACGGGGTGAGAGAGACACGGTGAGAGAGACACGGGGTGCTGCTGCTGATGCTGATCCTGCTGATGCTATTACTACTGATACTACTACTGGTGATGATACTACTGGTCATGATGATACAACTACTGGTCATGATGATACTACTACTACCGGTCATGATGATACTACTGGTGATGATGATACTACTACTGGTGATGATGATACTACTACTGGTGATGATACTACTACTACTACTGGTCATGATGATACTACTGATGATACTACTACTGGTGATGATACTACTACTGGTGATGATGATACTACTGGTCATAATGATACTACTGGTCATGATGATACTACTACTGATGATGATACTACTGATGATAATGATACTACTACTGATGATAATGATACTACTACTGATGATGATGATGATGATACTAGTACTACGACTGCTGGTGATGATGATACTACTACTGGTGATGATGATGATACTACTACTGATGATGAAACTGGTGGTGATGATGATGATACTACTACTACTGATGATGATGATGATACTACTACTGATGATGATACTACTACTGGTGATGATGATGATGATACTACTACTGATGATGATTCTACTACTGATGATGATGATGATACTACTACTGGTGATGATGATACTATGACTGGTGATGATGATACTACTACTACTGGTGATGATGATACTACTACTGGTGATGATGATACTATGACTGGTGATGATGATACTACTACTACTGGTGATGATGATACTACTACTGATCATGATACTACTACTGATGATGATGATACTACTACTGGTGGTGAAGATACTACTACTGATGATAATGATACTACTACTGATGATGATGATGATACTACTACTGATGATAATGATACTACTACTGATGATCATGATACTAGTACTACGACTGCTGGTGATGATGATACTACTACTGGTGATGATACTACTACTGAGGATGATGATGATGATGATACTACTACTGATGATGATAATACTACTGAGGATGATGATGATGATGATACTACTACTGATGATGATACTAGTACTACGACGGCTGGTGATGATGGTACTACTACTGATGATGATACTACTACTGATGATGATGATAATACTACTAGTGATGATGATACTGGTGATGATGATGATGATGATACTACTTATGATGATACTACTACTACTGATGATGATGATACTACTACTGATAATGATGATGATACTACTACTACTGATGATGATGATACTACTACTGATGATGATACTACTACTACTGATGATCATGATACTACTACTGGTGATGATGATGATGATTATACTACTACTGATGATACTACTACTGATGATGATGATACTACTACTGATCATGATGATGATGATGATACTACTACTGATGATGATACTACTACTACTGATGATGATGGTACTAGTACTACGACTGCTGGTGATGATGATACTACTACTGGTGATGATACTACTACTGGTGATGATGATGATACTACTGATGATGATACTACTACTGATGATGATGATACTACTGATGATGATACTACTACTGGTCATGATACTACTACTGGTGATGATGATACTACTATTACTGGTGATGATGATACTACTGGTGATGATGATACTACTACTGGTGATGATACTACTACTGATGATGATAATACTACTGGTGATGATGATACTACTACTGATGATGATGATACTACTACTGATGACAATGATAATGCTACTGATGATAATGACACTACTACTGATGATATTGATACTACTGATGATGATGATGATGATACTACTACTGATGATGATACTAGTACTACGACTGCTGGTGATGATGATACTACTACTGATGATGATAATACTACTACTGATGATGATGATACTGGTGATGATGATTATACTACTACTGATGATGATGATACTACTACTGATGATGATGATACTACTACTGGTGATGATGATGATACTACTACTGATGATGATACTACTACTGATGATGATGATGATACTACTGGTGATGATGATACTACTACTGGTCATGATGATACTACTACTGGTGATGATGATACTACTACTGGTGATGATGATACTACTGATGATGATACTACTACTACTGGTGATGATGATACTACTACTGGTGATGATGATACTACTGGTGATGATGATACTACTACTGATGGTGATGATCATACTACTACTGATGATGATACTACTACTGATGATAATGATACTACTACTGGTGATGATACTAGTACTACGACTGCTGGTGATGGTGCTACTGATGATGATGATACTACTACTACTACTGATGATGCTACTGATGATGATGATACTAGTACTGATGGTGATGACACTAATACTGATGATGATACTACTACTACTGATGATGATGATGATACTGCTACTGATGATACTACTACTGATGATGATACTACTACTACTGATGATGATGCTACTGATGATGATGATGATACTACTACTGGTGATGATGATACTACTACTGATGATGATGCTACTGATGATGATGATACTGGTGATGATACTACTACTGATGATGATACTACTACTGGTGATGATGATACTACTACTGATGATGATGCTACTGATGATGATGATACTGGTGATGATACTACTACTGATGATGATGATGATGATACTGGTGATGATACTACTACTGGTGATGATGATACTACTGGTGATGATGATACAGATGATGATGATACTGGTGATGGTGCTCACTCTCCGCGCCCCCCACAGTAGCAGTAGCGCTGCTGGGCGTTGGTGCTGTGAGCTGAGTCCCACTGCAGGGCGCCTGGGTCGTAGGGCAGAGCACCATGACCCTGCAGCAGGAGAAGCATCATCAGTAGCATCATCATCATCAGTAGCATCATCATCATCAGTAGCATCATCATCATCATCAGTAGCATCATCATCATCATCAGTAGCATCATCATCATCAGTAGCATCATCATCATCATCAGTAGCATCATCATCATCAGTAGCATCAAAATCATCATCATCATCAGTAGCATCATCATCAGTAGCGTCATCATCATCATCATCAGTAGCATCATCATCATCAGTAGCATCATCAGTAGCATCATAATGATCAGTAGCATCATCATCATCAGTAGCATCATCATCATCATGAGTAGCATCATCATCAGTAGCGTCATCATCATCATCAGTAGCATCATCAGTAGCATCATCATCAGTAGCATCATCATCATCAGTAGCATCATCATCATCAGTAGCATCATCATCATCAGTAGCATCATCATCATCATCATCAGTAGCATCATCATCATCAGTAACATCATCATCATCAGTAGCATCATCATCATCAGTAGCATCATCATCATCAGTAGCATCATCATCATCAGTAGCATCATCAGTAGCATCATCATCAGTCGCATCATCATCATCAGCAGTAGAAGCATCATCAGTAGCATCATCATCATCAGTAGCAGCATCATCATCATCAGTAGCATCATCAGTAGCATCATCATCATCAGTAGCATCATCATCATCATCAGTAGCATCATCATCATCATCATCAGTAGCATCATCATCATCAGTAGCATCATCATCATCAGTAGCATCATCATCATCAGTAGCATCATCAGTAGCATCATCATCATCATCAGTAGCATCATCATCATCAGTAGCATCATCATCATCATCACTAGCATCATCATCGATAGCATCATCATTAGTAGCATCATCATCATCATCAGTAGCATCATCATCAGTAGCATCATCAGTAGCATCATCATCATCAGTAGCATCATCATCAGTAGCATCATCATCACTAGCATCATCATCATCAGTAGCATCATCATCATCAGTACCATCATCTTCATCAGCAGCATCATCTTCATCGGAAGCATCATCATCAGTAGCATCATCAGCAGCCACATTATAATTATCAGCAGGATCATCATCATCAACAGTAGCATCAACAGTAGCATAATCATCATCATCAGTAGTATCATCAGTAGCATCATCATCAGTAGCATCATCATCAGCATCATCATCAGTAGCATCATCATCAGCAGCCACATTATAATTATCAGCAGGATCATCATCATCAACAGTAGCATCATCAGTAGCATAATCATCATCATCATCAGTACCATCATCTTCATCAGCAGCATCATCTTCATCGGAAGCATCATCATCAGTAGCATCATCAGCAGCCACATTATAATTATCAGCAGGATCATCATCATCAACAGTAGCATCATCAGTAGCATAATCATCATCATCAGCAGCATCATCAGTAGCATAATCATCATCAGTAGCATCATCAGTAGCATCATCATCATCAGTAGCATCATCATCATCAGTAGCATCATCATCAGTAGCATAATCATCATCAGCATCATCATCATTAGCATCATCATCATCAGCAGCATCATCATCACTCACCTGTGAATCTCTATACTTCCATGTCGTTGTAGCTGCTGCTGCTGCTGCTGATGTTGATGCTGCTGCTGCTGACGATGTTGGTGATGGCAGCGATGATGTTAACGACGTTGACAATCTTCTCTGCCTCCTCCTCATCCTCCTCTGTGATGTCGGCGCATTATCACCATCACCGCCATCATTATCACCATCACCACCGTCACCATCATCACCACCATTGTCAGCACGGGAGCAGTGGTCGGAGCCTGGGAGCGAAGAGGTGAGTGGTGAGTGGGTTAGCGGACGGGTGTGTGGGTAGGTGGGTCAGCGGTTTGGTGAGTGGGTGAGTGGGTGGGTGAGTGGTTGGGGGTTTGAGTGAGTGGTTGGGTGAGTGGGTGAGTGGGTGGTGGGTGAGTGGGTGGGTGGGTGAGTAAGTGGTTGAGTGGGTGGGTCAGTGGGTGAGATGTTGGGTGAGGGGGTGAATGGTGAGTGGGCGAGGTGGTGGGTGAGTGGGTAGGTGGGTGAGCGGTTTGGTGAGTGGGTGAGTGGGTGGGTGAGTGGTTGGGGGTTTGAGTGGGTGAGGTGGTCGGTGGTGGGTGAGTGAGTAGGTGGTTGAGTGGGTGGTTGAGTGGGTGGGTCAGTGGGTGAGATGTTGGGTGAGGGGGTGAATCGTGAGTGGGCGAGGTGGTGGGTGAGTGGGTAGTTGAGTGGGTAGGCGGGTGAGTGGTTGAGGTAGTGGGTGAGTATTTGGTAGGTAGGCGAGTGGGTGGGCGAGTGGTTGGGTTGGTGGCTGGGTGGTTGGTTGCCTCAACCACAGGGTGATGTGGACGCGCCTATCTTCTTTGGATCTTTCGGTAAAGTCACGTAGAATGAGAATATAATAATAAAATAAAATAACACAATAAAATTCTCACGACGTTTCGGCCACAACACAAGTGGCCTTCTTCAGGTGAAAGGAACAGACCTGTCGGGACGACAGAGCTTCAATGAACGTTGTTAAGATTCGCAGCGTCTTTTAAGGTGGTTTAGAGAAGTGAGGCACCTTGACAAAGGGGTTTACATATCAAACAGGAGAATTTAGCATTGAAATAGCTGAGTGATTAGCTTGTGACTGGTCGTAGAAATATCTATGTTAAAGTCAAAGCCTACACATCCACAGAGGCACCTCTTGACAAAGTAATTAGCATAGAATTTAGCATTGAAATAGCTGAGTGATTAGCTTGTGACTGGTCATAGAAATGGCTATGTTAAAGTCAAAGCTTACACATCCACAGAGGCACCTAGCACAAATCAAACAGGAGAATTTAGCATTGAAATAGCTGAGTGATTAGCTTGTGACTGGTCACAGAAATGGCTATGTTAAAGTCAAAGCCTACACATCCACAGAGGCACCTAGCACAAATCAAACAGGAGAATTTAGCATTGAAATAGCTGAGTGATTAGCTTGTGACTGGTCACAGAAATAGCTATGTTAAAGTTAAAGCCTACACATCCACAGAGGCACCTAGTACAAATCAAACAGGAGAATTTAGCATTGAAATAGCTAAATTCTCCTGTTTGATATGTAAACACCTTTGTCAAGGTGCCTCACTTCTCTAAACCAGATTAAAAGTCGGCCACGAATCTTAACAACGTTCATTGAAGCTCAGTCGTCCCGACAGGTCTGTTCCTTTCACCTGAAGAAGGCCGCTTGCGTTGTGGCCGAAACGTCGCCAGAATTTTATCGTGTTATTTTATTTTATCAATTCATTATTTTATTCTCATTTTCTAAGTGGTGGTGACTTTACCGAAAGAACCAAAGAAGGTGAATCCTTGCAGTCACGAAAGCTTCAAATGGATGTGCCTAGTCCAGCAATCACGATGAGCTTAGGCGCAATGCCACGCTTGCCTGCCTGCTGCTCTACCACGCCCGCCCGCCCGCCCGCCCACCCGCCCGCCCGCCCGCCCGCCCTCCCGCCAGGTTTTTGCTGCCCATGCTGTCAAACGCTGCCGCTGGATGGCCGTAACGGTGAAGTAGGAGAGCCGGGCCCTCGCCGGCACAGAGCCTCTCCCCCCGTCACCAAGACCGCGGACTGTGGGTGGGTGAGTGGTGAGTGGGTTAGCGGTGACCGGTGGTCCCACGACACCGGTGCCAAACCAACCGGCAGGGGATCTCGGAGCTCCGTCGTTGGGTCCCCCGCCCCCCCCCCCCCCCCCAACCCAGAGGCACCTCTCGCAACTTTGCCACATCCCGCCCCGCCCCCTACAACTCCCTTGTGGAGGACACCGAATCGGTTGGTGGGGCAGACCCCCCCCCCCCCCCCCTGCAAAAACGGCGGCGCCTCGGCAAAAGCGGGCCCTCCGGCGGGCCCTCCGGCGGGCCTCCGGCGGGCCTCCGGCGGGCCTCCGGCGGGCCTCCGGCGGGCCCTCCGGCAGGCCTCCGGCGGGCCTCCGGCGGGCCCCCCTGCAGCTGGAGGCCGCCGGACGGCGCCCGTCGCGAGCTCCACCGTGCCGGAGTGAAGACGTTGCGCCCGGGGGTGACCCGCGCCAAGCCGCCTAACCCTCGCCACCATCCGCTCGCCGCGCAGGAATCTTTCCCCGACCCGCCCCGCCCCGCCCGCCCCGCCAATCCCCACGTTGTTAAGAAGCCCCCCCCCCCCCCCCCCCCGCGGTATGACAGCGAATGGACGGAGGGTGCAAGGCGAAAGGGGCGTGGCCTAAAAACCGTCGTCCCGTCACACTCAGACCCCGGGCGGCCAGCTGCTAACCGCCGGCGCGTCAACCGTCAAAGGGACCCGCGGTCAACTCAAGGGCGTCCGAGGCTCCGTTGACCCCTGCCGGGGTCGCTCATCCCACCACCCACCCACCCACCCACCACCAGCACCAGCACCACCACCCCCCGCCCGCTCTCCGAATCTCCCTCCCCTGCAGGGCCGACGCAGAGTCCCAGCGTGCCCCACGCGCCGCGGGGGACACCAGGTTGGGGTGGAAAAAGGCGGGCGAGATCAAAAGGATCTACGTCATTAGACCTCTCCTTTGCCAGTAGCCAAAATAATGGACCCAATCAGTTTCAAGGGCAACGCATACATGATCACGTCACGTTTTTTTTGTTTGCATTTTGACTGCAGGTATCGTGGTTAATGTAGACATGAATCCCCGTAAGAAGGTTTCAGTTTTGTTGCAAGAAAAAAAGGGGGAGAAAAACGCCCCCCCTGTTATTAAACACCCCGAGGGTTTTTGGTTTGGACACGTTTGTTTTGTTGCAGTACCGAGTTAGACTGATGGCCTTAAAGCTAAGTTTTCTTATTCTTAGTTTTTTCGGTAAAGTCACGTTGAAGAGAAACAACAAAATAATAAAATATATATAAAACAATAAAAAATTCTCACGACGTTTCGACCATAACTCAAACGGTCGTCTTCAGGTGTGTTGGTTCGCGTAAATTTATGCTTCGCATTTGAGTTATGGTCGAAACGTCGTGAGAATTTTTTATTGTTTTATATATATTTTATTATTTTGTTGTTTCTCTTCAACGTGACTTTACCTAAAAAACTAAGAATATGAATTACTGCAGTCACGAAAGCTTTAAATCAAAATCTAAGTTTTCTTGTTGTGGTTGTTGTTGTGGTTGTTGTTGTTGTTTGACTTTGCATCACACCGGGATTTTGTGCCGCACGGCGCTGGTGGTGCACGGTGCTTTGTTTTTTCAGGAATATTTTGCCGTCGGTTTTTTATTTCCCCCCCATGGATTTCCTGTTTTGCACAGTGAACGCACAAAGTCACTTTTTCAAGATGATTTTCTCGGTTCGCGTTTTTTGTTTGTGTTTTTTGTTTGTTTGTTGCGGTTGCACTCCGATTCAAGAGCCGAATGGCTCACAGGGCTACGCCAAAATAAATAAAGTGAAATAAATAAATAAAATTTTACGATGCCACCAAAGGCCCTCCATGGCCCCCAAAAAATCAAGACATCTCCCCGGTGAGGTCTGCTGATGGCAACGCGCTTTTCAAGGACACGCCAAAAGATTTACACTAGGAGACCTCCTTTGCCAGTAGCAAGATATAGTAATAGGTTTTTACCCTTTTATCTGGCACAAAAACTGACACCTTTATACAAGGGATCGTGTTTGCAATAACCACAACACAAGCAGTCAAAAATGCAAACAAAAAGAGACAACTCTGATAATGATATGCACTGTCCTTGAAATTGATTGGTCCACACCCGAGACGGATTTTCTTAGAGCCTAGTCTCCACTGGTATTGGACCAGAAGACGCCAAAAGGCGTCACACAACTCAAAAACAGCGCACCATCAGAGTATTGGCGTCTTCTGGTCCAGCACCAGTGTTCTGGTCCAACACCAGTGGAGACTAGGCTCTAAGAAAATCCGTCTCGGGTGTGGACCAATCAATTTCAAGGGCAGTGCCAATATCATTATCAGAGTTGTCTCTTTTTGTTTGCATTTTTGACTGCTTGTGTTGTGGTTATTGCAAACATGATCCCTTGTATAAAGCTGTCAGTTTTTGTGCCAGATAAAAGGGTAAAAACCTATTACTACGCCAAAAGATCTTGAAGAGGTGGGCGGAGCGCTTTGATAATCATCCTCAACCACGTCAACCCCCATGACAATAGGTTTCACCCTTTCTGGCAATAAAACAGGGGGTGTTAAGATGTTCAAACGCCAAATATATATATACTTGTGGTGAACATGCAACAGAAAAATCATGCTCTTGACACTATATGATGATGCATTGTCTTTGAAGCTGATTGGTCCACAACAGAGGACAGCTTTCATCTTCTTTGGTTCTTTCGGTAAAGTCACCACCGAGTAGAATGAGAATAAAATCATAAATTGATACAATAAAATAACGCGATGAAATTCTCACGACGTTTCGGCCACAACACAAGCGGCCTTGTGTCTCGTCCCTTCACCTGATGAAGGCCGCTTGTGTTGTGGCCGAAACGTCGTGAGAATTTCATCGCGTTATTTTATTTGATCAATTTATTATTTTATTCTCATTCTACGTGACTTTACCGAAAGAGCCAAAGAAGATGAATCCTTGCAGTCACGAAAGCTTTAAATCGAAATTTAGGACAGCTTTCTTGAGAGCCTAGCCTCCCAACAGTGTTAGAGCAGAGGACACAGGCAAAAGGCGAACAGCTACTGGCACGGGAAGTCCCCTCTCACCCTCGGCACGCTCCCAGATATCCCGCCCATTCGTCAACTCGACACACGCCCCACCACGGTTTCCCGGCGGTCCACCGGGCGGGTCAAATGCCGAGGAAAACAACA